AAAAAATGCCAGCGCGGGTGGTCTCATTGCCTGTCATCCCAGCACTTTGGGAGGCTTGAGCAGGGGATCACAAGGTCAGGAGTTACTATCCTGCCAACGCATGGTGAAAATTCCTCTTGTACTAAAAATACCAAAAATTGGCTGGGCATGGTGTCTCACGCCTGTAATCCCAGCACTTTGGAGGGCCGAAGGTGGCGGGATCATGAGCTCAGGAGATCAGACCATCCTGGCTAACACGGTATGTAGCCAGATGTCATAACATCCTGTTAGACATCATTTTCGTGATCTGCCCGCCTCGGCCTCCCAAAGTGCTGGGATTACAGGCGTGAGCCACCGTGCGTGTCCTCCATCCTTTTATTTTTAAACTCCTTGTATATAATTATATTTAAGGTGGATTGTGTGTATGTTGTTTTGTTTTGTAGACTGCATATAATTTGGTACTTTTTTTTTTTTTTAATTTATTCTGAAAATCTCTTTAAATTGGTGTGTTTAGATCAGGGGTCAGCAAACTATGTAGGTCAAATCTGGCCTGCTGCCTGTTTTGTAAATAAAGTTTTATTAAAACACAGCCATGCTCATTTATGTATTTTCTTTTTTTGTTGTTTTTGAGACGGAGTCTCACTCTGTTGCCCAGGCTGGAGTGCAGTGGCTCAATCTGGGCTCACTACAGCCTCCCCATCCTGGGTTCAAGTGATTCTCCTGCCTCAGCCTCCTAAGTAGCTGGGATTACAGGTGCCCACCACCGTGCCTGGCTAATTTTTGTATTTTTAGTAGAGATGGGGTTTCACCATGTTGACCAGGCTTGTTGTGAACTACTGACCTCAAGTGATACCCCTGCCTCAGCCTCCCAAAGTGCTAGGATTACGGACACCACGCCTGGCTCATCTAGGTATTTTCTGTGGCTACTTTTCTGCTACAAAAGCAGAGTTTGGTGGTTGCAACAGAGACCATATGACTGACAAGTTCAAAAATATTTACTATCTGGACTTTACTGACCCCTGGTTTATAGTATTTACATCGAATGTAGTTACTGATAGGTTTGGATTCAGATTTTTCCTTTTCAGATTTTTCTTTTATTTATTTTGTGTTTATTCCCTTTAGTCTTTATTTCTTTATTATCTCTTTCCTGCCATGGTTTAGATTATTTGAACATTTTTAGTATTCTATCTGAATTGAACTCTAGAGTTTTTAGTTATATCTCTTTGTATGTGTGTTTTAGTGGTTGCTCTAGGGATTACAATGTACATACTTAACATTTCCCAGTCTAATTAGAATTAGTATTTTGTCATGTCGAGTGGAATGTAGAAACCTTACTACCACGTAGATCTTTTTATTTTTCCTCCTTTGTGTTTGAATATCTCCATTCATTTAGGTCTTTCATTTCTCTCAGAAATGTTTTGCAATGTTTAGCATAGGGATTGGGCACTTTTTTCCTTAGTTTTTTTTTTTTTTTTTAGGTATTATATTTTCTTCCTAGATATTTATATGTTTGATATTATACATGGTATTAAAATTTTTTTCATTTAAAAAATTTTTTGAGACCAGGCACGGTGGCTCACGCCTGTAATCCCAGCAGTTTGGGAGGCCAAGGCAGCTGGATCACCTGAAGTCAGGAGTTTGAGACCAGCCTGGCCAACATGGCAGAATCCCGTCTCTACTAAAATACAAAAATTAGCCGGGCATGGTGGTGGGCGCCTGTAATCCCAGCTACTTGGGAGGCTGAGGCAGGAGAATTGCTTGAACTTGGGGAGCGGAGGTTGCAGTGAGCTGAGATTGTGCCATTGCACTCCAGCCTGGGTGACAAGAGCAAAACCCCATCTCAGAAATAAATTTTTTTATTGATATATGGTAATATTATTTTTGCTTGTATATTGACATTGTAGCCTATGACTTTGCTGAATGTATTTATTAATTCTAATTGTGGTTTATTTTATATTTTCTAAGTTTGTAGTCATGTTATTTACAAATAAATATACTTCTTCTTGTCCAATCTTTATACCTTTCTTTTGTACGGGAGGAAAAATTGCTTCCTTCTTCATTTCTAGGTTCTGTGGCTGGTCTAAGAATTAATTTTTTTTTTTTTTGATAGGAGTCAAACCACTCCTGTACCCCAGGCTGAAATGCAGTGCAACATGGCTACGCAAGCATCCGCCTCCCGTGTTCACCCATTCCTCCTCGCGTCCAGCCTCCTGAGTAACTGGACTACAGGCCGCCCTGCCCACCATGCCTCGGCTAATTTTTTTTTTCCTTTTTTTTTGTACCTTTAATAATCAAGATGGGTTTTCACCATGTTGTCCCAGATGGTCCCGATCTCCTTGACCTCATGATCCGCCATGTCGCTTATAGGCCTCCAAAAAAAGTGCCTGGGATTACAATTTGCACACCACCCGCGCGCCCGGCTCCAAAAACTGTTTTTTTTGTTTGTTGCTTTTTCTTTATAATTGTTTCTTTTTGTGCAGAGTTTCACTCGTAAAGCCCCAGGCTGAGTGCAATGCGTCTATCCCTGGCTCACTCAACTCGCCCTCCCAGGTCCCAAGCCGAATTCTCCTGCATCAGCCCTCCCCATAGCTGGATTATAAGCCCATGTCCCACCAACACCTCGGATAATTTTATTCTTCAGTACAGAGATGAGGTTTCTCCATGTTGGTCAGGCTGGTCTCAAACTCCTGACCTCAGGTTATCTGCCTGCCTCGGCCTCCCAAAGTGCTGGGATTACAGGCATGAGCCACCATGCCTGGCAAGTTTTTTTTTTTTCTTAACGGATGAGAGGTTTTTTGTTTTTCTCCTATTAATCCATCTTACATCAATGTAATTCGTGTGTGTGTGTGTGTGTGTGTGTGAGAGAGAGAGAGAGAGAGAGACAGAGAGAGAGAGAGCGTGCCAAGGTCTTGCTCTGTCACACAGGATGGAGTGCAGTGGCACGATCTCAGCTCACTGCAACCTCTGCCTCCTGGGCTCAAGTGATCCTTCCAACTCAGCCACCTGTGTAGCTGGGACTACGGGCGTATGCCCAGTTAATTTTTGTATTTTTAGTAGAGACAAGGTTTTGCCATATTGCCCAGGCTGGTCTCAAACTCCTAGGCTCAAGTAATCTGCCCACCTGCAAACTGGGCTTGCAGGTGGGCCAGTCTGCCCACCCCGCCCTTCAAGGTGCTGGGATTACAGGCATGAACCACCACACCCAGCCTGGTTCCTCCCCTTTTAAACCATATAAAGTAACTTCTGGGTGTTGCCAAGGCATTTGTAAACTGTCATGGTGCCAGTTAGAATGTCTTTTAGCGTGCTAGTGCATTATAATTAGTGTATAACAAGCACTGAAGGCAACTAGAGGTTTTGCCCAGTTTCTTTACCACATCCTCAGAAAACAACTCCTGCTGACCTCTTACCTTAGGAATGCCATCTCTGCATTTCCAAAGACATCAATGTAGTCTTTTGTAGGCTGCAGTCTTTTGTAGGCAAGAGGTAGGCAGATGCTCCTAACCTATAAATGCCTGTGTGCGTATTAAAAACAGATACTTTGGTGAGACCACTGAAAAAACAGTGCTCTTTTATCTGGACTGTTGTAAACCTTCCCTTACCTAATACACTCCACCTGGGGAGATGCATTCCTTCATCTGTTTTTTGTTAAGGGCTTTTAACAACTTTTAGTAAAACTACCCAATATATGCATGGAAGAAACCTGCAATTTCACCCCTAAACACATAAAAATAATTTTTTTAAAAAAAGTTATTGAGGCCAGGTGTGGTAGCTCATACCTGTAATTGTAGCACTTTGGGAGGCCAAGGCAGGATAATTGCTTGAGCCCAGGAGGTTGAGAGCAGCTTGGACAACACGGAGAGAACCCCGTCTCTAAAAAAAAAAAAAAAAAAAAATTAGCCAGGCATGGTGGCACGTGTCTGTGGTCCTAGCTACTTAGGAGGCTGAGGTGGGAGGATCACTTAAGCCCAGGAGGTCAAGGCTGCAGTGAGCTGTGATCATGTCACTGCATTGCAGCTTGGGTAAAAGAGCGAGACCCCCATCTCAAAAACAAACAAAACAAAAAACTTTTGGTAATAAACTATAAATGACCCTAATAGGAAAAACACATTAAGTCATTACCAGCTCTTAACACCATTCTGTGATTTCATTGGCACATTATTGTGTATCTGTCACTTAGCTTTCTAATGACCCCGCCCAATTTTGTTGGCAGAATAGGTGGAGAGGTATGAAGAACGAGGAACACTGCCAGGGGAGTTTCTTGCTCTGCAAAATAAGGGAGTGCGTACTGAATTACCTTTTCCAGCTCCAACATCCAGGATTTCAGCACTACCTGCAGAGTAGTGGGAGGAGAGCTAGGTAAGAAATTAAAAAGAGACCTAATGGAGTATGTGGCACCCTGCTACTGCTGGGGTCCATCCCCACGCCTCATGCTCGTGAGTCGGAAACAAGCTTCTTGGAGCTCTTCCTTATCTACAGGGCTCTCCTCACAGGGCCTGGAAGTTCTGCCCCAGCCCTGTGGGGATTTTCTAGAGTCATTTGCCTCTCTTTAAAGCCTTAGCAGAGGGAGCCGGTGTGGGGAAGGGGTGGTAACGTAGATGGCAATGCTTGTCAGAACAGAGTAGAGCCCCTCTTCCATGCTTTGCAGCCTCTGGGCCTAGGGCTAGCATTATTCTCCCCTTTTATAGCCATCTGTTGATTTCACCTTATCTTGCACTAAGCAATGGGCTTCTTGTGGGCAGGTGCTGTCTCTCACCCATCTTATTTCTCTCTGGCTCTTTCATGGGGCCTGCTGTGTGGTAAGTGCTCAGTGTTCAGTGAGTGAATGGACAGGAAAGGGCAGGGAAGTGAATCAAATCTCCTCACGTTGAGACATCAGCAGCATCTGTGATCCTTTCCTCATTTGGACCTTCACACCCAATAGCTACTTAGGAGGCTGAGGTGGGAGGATCACTTAAGCCCAGGAGGTCAAGGCTGCAGTGAGCTGTGATCATGTCACTGCATTGCAGCTTGGGTAAAAGAGCGAGACCCCCATCTCAAAAACAAACAAAACAAAAAACTTTTGGTAATAAACTATAAATGACCCTAATAGGAAAAACACATTAAGTCATTACCAGCTCTTAACACCATTCTGTGATTTCATTGGCACATTATTGTGTATCTGTCACTTAGCTTTCTAATGACCCCGCCCAATTTTGTTGGCAGAATAGGTGGAGAGGTATGAAGAACGAGGAACACTGCCAGGGGAGTTTCTTGCTCTGCAAAATAAGGGAGTGCGTACTGAATTACCTTTTCCAGCTCCAACATCCAGGATTTCAGCACTACCTGCAGAGTAGTGGGAGGAGAGCTAGGTAAGAAATTAAAAAGAGACCTAATGGAGTATGTGGCACCCTGCTACTGCTGGGGTCCATCCCCACGCCTCATGCTCGTGAG